ACTGTTTCCTATTACACCCCTTGGTAACACTCTATTGATCTCTGGTTGCGATTTCTTGACGCTAAATCCTCTCACTTTTGACATCTTCTATTACATACTCGAGACCTTATAATGGAACTTGATCCATCCTTGAAGCTTTGAAAATGCCATCCTTAGTTTAGCTCCGATTGGCTTTCTAGAGTAAGGATTTGACCGTGTGCTACTCGGCATGGGAAAGTAGTCAAAACTACTTCCATTATGATGAATTGAGATGTGTGAAAAGATTGAACGAAAATCTCATTACTAAAACAAAGTTATACATCACTAACGAACTAAATAACAACCTCTAAGACATGACAATCACTCAATTGCGTAGTAATTGCAACTCATACATGTTTATATTTTCAACTTTCACCATAGTCGTCTATCAAACCGACATCTCAAATGGAAATACAAATCGCAGTTATAAAACAACTAAACGTCAGATGGCACACCTGTAGATGTTGCTTCAGTAGTAATGTGGCTCGAAACTTTGCTACCATCGTCAACGTTTGTAGGTGCACTGCTACTAGGATTGCCGCTACCACTAGCATTCTCGTCTTCTTCAACAATGGCACCAAATGATGCTTCTCTTATTGATGTAGTACCGGCTGTCTGGCGTCCCGCACCCTTTGAAGGCTGGGTCTGCTCTGTGTACCTTACTACATTGTTTCTGTCTTTTTCCTCCGTATAAGATGGTTTGTTAGGTTGATGCGATTGAGATTGCTGCTGAGATTGCTGCTGATACTGTGAATTGTACCCGCCGCCACTATTCAATGGCATCATATTCATGAAAAACTGTGGTGCCTGAGTTGTTGTAGGCGTCATTCCTGTTGACCAATCTTGAGGAGCCATGAAATTAGATGGCGATGGGAAAGGGAACATGTCGTTGACATAGCGTGACGGCAAGGCTGAGACTGGTGTTTGTTCTCCATTGTAAGTATTTCCACTATTATTACTAAAGTTTTGCAGTTGCAGATTCGGTTGACCTTGTTGCGGCAAGAACGGTATCAGTGGACGGATCCTCATTGCGGAATCTGGTGCATGAGCTGAAGGGAGCTGTCCCTGCAGATCACTAGTGATCACAGCACTTTGTGGCAACGCCAGCAGCTGCAGTAGGGGGTGCAGGTGTTGCAGATATGCCTGTGTATGTTGCTGTTGCTGTTGCTGTTGCTGTTGCTGTTGTTGTGGCTGTGGCAGTTGCAGCTGCAGATTTTGCTGGTTATGATTACTCTGACTATACTGTTGATACTGCTGGTTAAATCCCTGTATCGAATAATTGACGTATGGGTTGTTAGCTGATCCCTGGTTTATCGCATAGAAGGTTCCCGAATTAAGACTCATCCCCGAAGGTGAAAATATGTTGTTGTTGTCAGCAGTCATAATGCCACTATTATTATTGTTGTTATTACCTGGATCATTATTCTGTCGTTCTCCCATTGTCATGTTCTCACCAATCTGAGAAGTGTTGACATTGCTACCACTACTGCTTCTACTATTACCGCCACTACTTCCTCCTCCTGATTGACTTAAAGGGTTGGGGAGTCCTGGATAAGTAGCACTTGCTGGCGACGAAGTTTGGGATTTGGAATTGATAGGTAAAGGCAATGTCGGCTTCCTTGAATCAGGAGATCGGAACGATGAATATGAACTAAACTTTGAAGATGGGGTTTGCGTGCGCATTAAATGACTTGCAGCTCCATACTTGTTGTTTGAAGTGTTATGGACTATATCTCCATCACCTAGATGTATTGTATGTTGAACATGGCCAATTCCATGGTGACTGCCACTTGTACTACCACTAACTCCAGTGTGATTAGTCGATGAATGATTCACTGATGAGCTAGTATTCTCAATTGCTGTTACAGTTCGAGCAGTATCAGTACTTCCTGTTTCCTTTATATCCAAGTTAAATGTTCCTGATTTGGTTTGATTCCCCTTTGCATCAGTGGGTATTTGCACACGCAACACAGGTCGTGAAGAGTTTTCCCTTCTGCTGGTGTTTGGCGATGGAGTATTTCTTTGCAGTAGCAGCAGTGGCAGACTCCGCAGGTGACTAGAGACCGTGATACTTGGTTTCTTGTACTTGTTAAAAGGAGGAACGTTGGTCAATGATATTTGTGTTGGTGGTGGTGGAGGGGGTGAACTTTTGCTGTTGAAAACTTTTGGATTCCGACTATTGTTGAGATAAGTTGTGGATTGATGATTACCACGTTGTCTCTTTCTCGAACGTGTTGCCAGTTCTCCTTCTGATGTATCTTCGCCTTCATCGTCATCATCTTCGTACTCATCCTCACCCAGCATATCATGATCTTCATCATCATCATCATTCAAATGCGCAGAGGTTCCCACCACACGTCCCTTTTTATCAGTTAGTGGTTCGTGTAGATGGCGTTTCTTGCGATAGATCAGATAATTTTCAGGTGATTTTGCCTCATGTACATGTTTCCTTGTCTTTATAGTCTTTTCATAAGAATTGAAAATCTCTTTAGTATCGACAGTTGAATACTCATAAATCTTGTTATTACTCCCCACTATGATGACTGATAGATCCACTTGACATAAAACTGCCAACTCGTGCGCCTTTTTAAATAGTCCCGCTTTACGTTTTACAAATGTAACAGTTCGATTACGATCATCCGATAAAGGTTGGATTTCGATTTTTCTTCTACCCATTTTGCTAAAGTAGCCACAGATGTGTGTTATAGATGAAATTTAAAGGAGTGACAATGTGTGAAGCAACAGGTTTAATAACTCGGGTCCAATTCTCGTGTGACAAGTGAAAATTGCAAGTTCTGCTGATTAATATATATATTTATAAATACTTTTTCTGAATCGATGATGTAAGTGTGTCCTAAGATGTGGGTTTTTCAAAGATCTGTCTTTCTCTTTATTCATTGATATATTCAATCTAGAATCATTCATTTAGTTTACAAAAAATTTCTTTCTTTTCTTATGAAGATAGTTTGTCACACAAAATTAAAAGAACAAAAGGAAAAAAGAAACGAAATAAGCAATTGTTTCTTATATAGAGACCAGATGGCTGAGACTGAGGCCAGAGACCAGAGACCAGAGACCAGAGACATGACCCAAGACACAGATACATCAGTTCATAACAAAATAATAGGAATTAACCAGACCCATTTTGTGTGAATAATTGTCTGTGTAATTGTGTACTCCACTTGCAACAGGTTTTGATTGGTTGATGGTTTTGTTGTATTTGATTTATAAGTACCAATAAAGGACATGCTGACGTCTATAAGCGTTTCTTCCGATTACACTCAGTAGTTCTTTTCAAGCCCATACTTTGTAGAAGGCTACCTCCTATAAATTGTGTTTATAAAGTACCCAACAACGCCTACTAAAGGTTAAAGGTAATTGGAAACGCGTAAACCTGCTCATCTAAGTTTAAGTCTTGGTACAGTTTTGCAAAAACGTTCAGGACATTATTTAATGGCAACAAAACAGAATAGGAGTAGTTATGTTGGTATGACTTATTCCTGTGGCTGGGTTGCAATCTCAAAAACATGACTTTTTCCTTGCAAACAGGTATATCGACATTGGTGGAGAACAAGCTAACTGCTGGGAATAGTACAAACACAAAGGGATTTGAGGCAATTTGAAGATATTAACGCCGTTTCTCCAACACCAAGTCGAGAACCATTATACCTATGGCGATAGATCACCGCCAATATGTGGTTTTGAGGGATTAAAACGAACAATAAAAAAGAGACAAAGGAACAAAACGAGGCTGGGGCAATTCTCGTGTCTATGTGGAAAACTTCATTTTTTTGCTAACATTGTCATTCCAATGATTAAATAACACCTACAAATGCTGCAGAAGATGTATATTCTTTTGCATTATCAATGTCGCTTCTGCAACCAAGAAATGTGCACCCAAAAAAGAGCTCAATTAAAAGGTGGTCCCATCCTGCAAGAGATACGACATCTTTGTTCATCTCTTTTGCCCCAAAGAGAGCTTTTCCGTTGTTGCTATTTATAGAAACCAACTGTCTCAGGGGTTTTGTGTACCCCAACAAAAAAGCCGCATCTAACAGATCATCTCTCAAAATCTATTTTTAGCAACTTTATCGTTTACGGCAAATTTGCATATCCTCCGTAAAACCAACCAGGTGATATGTATACCTCTGTATAATCGACTAAATCCGCACAAAGGTTATCAAACAATATTTCGTATGTATTACTAATAAGCTGGAACAAAGGGCTTTGTCTGTTACGATAATAATAAAAGTCTTTCAAAGCTATTACTGTATTGTAAAAGCTTAATCAAGGCGTTCGGTAACCACAAAACTGAACCACGTATCTTATGACAGCTTTTGTATTCCAGCCAAGGATTTCTTTTATCAAGGCCATCGATCACAATGTTACAGCAACCCGTATTTGGTTAACACTATAAAAACAAAAATTTTTCTCAACACTGCCACATTCTTCTTAACGTGTGTCAATTTACTGAAAAATGGGCAAGCTGGCGCAGTTGCTTTTGCAATAATCTTCTTCCTGTCAAGTTGAAGACACAAAGTTAGCTTGTCAAAGAATATGACAAGTTTTTACTTTTATTGTATTTCATTCATTTTTGGAAAGGATTACGCAACTGTGCGTTGGGTATTTTTTTTTTAACCCTTCCTCCACACCTATTGTTGTTGCCACAATAGTTTGCACTTTCTTTTATCCTTAATTTCTTATTGGTCAAAGAGCTACTCCCAGTTTCACTGAAGGTGTAATTTCTTGAAAAAGAACAAGAAAACAGAACACCTTAGAGGAACATCAGCTAACGACTTCAACTTCAAGGTTCTGAGACGATGTATATTGCAACTGAAGCAAATAAGCATAGATATAGCCATCTACACATACCTGGAAACCTCTAGCGTCTACTGATCTACGGGAAACAGAGACAGGGGGCATTGTTCACTAAATATTGCCCTTAACACTGACAATAAATGCTCAAATTAAACTTATATCAAACGAATTACTAAAGTATGATCTACTATTGACTTGTCTCTTCTTTCAATCACAGTGAATATGCAAAATATCAGAATTTTTGTGCGAGTATTGTGGCCCAAACTTCCTCTGGTTGCAAAAATGTTTCCTTTGTCCTGCACTTTGAATGCTCTCATAACAAGGTTACAACTTCGTTTACTAGGTGCATACAGTTCATATTGGGTGTGTTGCTCCTATCTGTGTGCTTACTACTGAGATCTACCAACCCTACTAAGTCTACCGTCAACGCTGGTATAAAGGAATAGCCCAGATTAGTCCTCATGTACTTTATTGTGCTTTGTCGATTTCTCCTCTGTGTTGAAGAAAGTTGCAAAACTTTGATATTCTTTCTTACTCTGCATATGTCAATGAGGATCATAATGCTGAAATTGAAAAGAATGAAGAAGTCGTTATTGATACAGACAATCTTGAAGAGCAGGAAATACCATCAATTGCTCAGGTTTTATGTTATGCTAATGTATCCAGTGAAAGTCCACAGAATAAAGAGATGGTGAATGAAATATTTTATGTAGATGCATCAGTTGAAGAGGTCGAAGCGGGGCAACATTTGTATGAAGATGGGAATGCTGTTGCTAATAACGAGACCGAAAACGATGCTATTCCAGAGGAGGAGGAGCTTGAGATTTATGAAAATCCTCGCGACTCCATCTACTTTTGGGATTCGTGTCCTACTGATCCAAACTATGGACAGTATTTCCTTCCTAGAAGAAGATTGATAAATGCACGTATTGATCATACACTTTTGTGCCAAAGATTTGTGCCTGATGGCATCCAGATCAGACGTGTGCCAGGCATTGAACTATCGAAATATTTAGAATCGGGAACGTGTTCAGCCGTTGACGAGGCTCGTGTGTT